CTGAGTCAGGCCCTCTTGGAAGCTCCACATACTGAAAACCACTCGTTTGGGCTGCAAAGCACCTTAAAACACACACACATACACATACACACACACACACACCCCTAAGTCTTAAGAAACTAGAAAAAGAAAAGCAAACCAGCCACCAAGAAAGTCGAAGTTAGGAAATAATCAAGATTATAGAAAGAAATTAGGGAACAGAAAAACAATGCAACCAAAAGTTGGTTCTTTGGGAAAAGATAACAAAACTGGCAAACATTTAGCAAGACTGACCAAGAAAAACAGACAAGATACAAACTGCCAAAACTAGGAACTAAAATTAAAAATAGAGTGGCTCAGTGGGTTAAATAAGCCTCTGCCTTCGGCTCAGGTCACGATCCCAGGATCTTGGGATCGAGTCCCACATCAGGCTCCCTGCTCAAAGACAGCCTGCTTTTCCCTCTCCCTGCCGCTCTGCCTACTTGTGCTCCCTATCTCCCTGTCAAATAAATAAAAAAAATCTTTAAAAAAAAAAAAAAAAGAAGAAGACTGTATTTACTCATTTCAAGACAGAAAGAACACAAGCAGGGGGTTAGGAAGAGGGAGAGGGGAGAAGCAGACTCCCTGCCAGGAGCTGGATGTGGGGCTCAATCCCAGGATCTGGAGGTCACAACCTGAGCCAAAGGCAGGCACTTAACCATCTGAGCCACTGAGGCAACCCCATGAACAACTTTAAACCAAGAAACTAGTCAATTTAGATGAAATGAAAACATTTCAAGAAAGGCACAAATTATCAAACATGACTCAAAAATAAACAAAATCTGAGCAGACCTAACAGAAAACAAAAATTAAACTAGTAATTAAAAATCTTCCAACAGAGAAAGCCCAGGCCCACATTGGCCTCCCTGATAAACTGTATCACACAATCAAAAAGGAAATAATACCTATCCATCACAAACTCTTCCAGGAAACAGAGGAGGGGAAACACTCTCCAATTCAATCTATGAGACCATATTACTATGATACCAAACCAAAGACATTGCTAAACAAACAAAAACACAAAAAACAACTAATATCCCTCAGAAATACAGATGAAAAATCTTTAGCCAAACAGCAACACAAATCCAACACCATCTAAAAAGAATCATACACTCTGACCAAGTGGGATTTACTCTGGAATACAAGGTTGGTTTGATATCCAAAAAACAATTAATGTAATGCCATGTTGGTAGAATAAAGACCAAAAAACATATAATCTACAAAATCCAACATCATTCATAATAAAACCTCAGTTAATTAGGAATAGAAGGAAATTTCCTTAGCCTAGTAAAAGTCATCTACCAAAAACTCTACAGCTAATACCATACTTCAGAGTAAAAGACAACGCGTTCTTCCTAAAACTGGGAACAAGCTAAGAGCGTCTGCTCTCACCAATTCTACTCAACATTGTGCTGGGCGACGGAGGTCTTAACTTGTACTATCAGGCACAGGGATTTTTTTTTTTTTTTTTTTTTTAATCTGGATGTCAGATTTTATCATTCCTCTACTGAAAACAAACCACTGGCTTCTTGTTTCACTCAGAATAAAGCTCTGCATGACCTGGGTCCCTGTCTACCCTACGATTTCTCCATACTCTACTCTCCCTCTTGCTCACTCCATTTCCAGCCACCTGGCTTCCTTTTGCTCCTCAAACACAATAAGCATGCGATGGTTTCAGGGTTTCTGAACTTGCTGAACTCTATGCCCAGAATGTTATTCCCCAAGATACACCAGAGCTCACTATTTCAGTTCCTGCATATTTCTGCACAGATTTATTTTCTCACAGAAGCCTTTTTTCATTGCAAAGTCCCTCTCTGCTCCCTTACCCTGCTTTTTCTTCATACATATTCATTTGTTTATCTGTTTTCCTCCACTAGAACGTAAACTACAAAAGAGAAAACTATTTTCTTCACTGCTATATTTCAAAGCTGTGCCTGGCACATGGTTGACACTCAATAAATACTCATTGATGAATGTCTTAAAAATAAAGTTGTATACAGGAGAATGAATACAAAGAAGGTAGGGGGAAACCAGTGGCTCAAGAAGCTGAGAAAGACCAGGGTTTCAGGTAACAGGGAAAGAGCCAATATAAGCTAATAGAAAAAACCTGGTTGTCCAGAGCTGGATTCTTCTGGGTTCTAAGCTTAGCTCTTCCAATCACTGCCTGTTTCTCTCTCTCGGAGTCTTAGTAATTTCTAAAATGAGAATATCACCACCTACCTCCCAAGCTGCTATGGAAATGAAATCAACTTATGTAGAGCATTCAGTATAGCATCTGATAATATAGTAGACATTACAAATCATTTAGCGTTTTCTGATAGTGCTGGCCTCAACAAGAATCTAAAACTACCTTAAAAATTACCAACTCCATTTCACTGAAGCACACAGATGTCTGTAGAGCTGCTTCCCCTAAACTGAATGGCCTCCATACTTGTTTTAACTTATCATTCTTCTTTCATCCTTCCCTTACTGTTAGGTCTCAGCTCTCACCTCTCGCTGCTGTTAATATAGCAGCTCCTCGTCCTTTTCTGATATGCTGCTTTGAATCCTATGGGGGTTTAGAAACCAGACTGCTAAACCTGTTACAACAACATATAAAAATAGGAATAAATTACTGCTGTGCAAGGGCTTAAGGATGACAATGCTTTGTTTCCTTCTTTTTAGTTGAAATTTGTTTTTTAGTAGAAACGAGTATGTCAGATAAATAAGCAAGATACTTTTTTTACATGGAATCATTCATATTTTTAAACAATCAATACTGGAACTTCTTCAGGGGGCAGCTAGTAGAAAAACAGTAAGGTCCAAGCTTGGGACCCAGGCCATGGAAAGCCAGAAGCTACAGAACTTAGATTAACCAGACAAAAAGAGGCGGCAGTAAGAGCCTGGAGAATCAGAGAAGGAGGGAAGGTTCGCTAATGTGGATTCCAAGAGCTCCAGGCTGGGGACAGACCCCTCTGTACACCTTCAAGCGGAGAGAAGCAAAAACAAAATGTCCACTGTTACAGAATGTAAAAAGAATGGCCTATTATCACTCCCAAGGGCAAGAGAGAGATGGTGGGAAAACTAGATGACCATGGCCTCTGACAAGATTATGAGGCTATAGCATAAGTGCCTTTTCCACTAGTAGTTGGAGGGTGAAGGATGGGGATGGGCAGGGTACTTAAGGCCAAAACAGGAACAGCCTTCCCCTTCTGAGGATAGTAGGAAACAAGGCAAGATCTATGTGGAATTGTCAGTGAGTGCAGACACATGCTGGGGATGGGCCCTTGAAAAGTGCTTTAACATCTGTGCTAGGAGTAGCCTTGGAGCCAGGCTATGTGAGTGCATTTAAACCTGCACTCTGCAGCCCACCTGCTGCAAACCAGGCTGCTGATGCTGCCTGGCTTTGTCTCTGTACCTTGGAATCCCTTCCCTCGTGGAAAGATTGAGCCTCAGATAAAATCTGAGTAAGAAGAGGAGGAAGAAAAAGGCAGAAGATTAGCAGCACAAATTTCCAAAGGAAAATCTTCCCTTTTCCCTTTGGGGAGTGAAGTAGAAATAGGTCAGGGACTAAGGTGCCAAGAATACTTATAATGCTTTCTTCTCACTTTCTCTCATTTCAGTCATGCTGCTTTACAATTCACAGAGCCTTCCAACTTGCATTTTTCATTTGGTTCTCTACAACATCCTGCAGGCTGGTATACACACAACAGACATAAGGGGGTGCAGGAAAGCACCCCAATTTTAAGATGTTGAGAGAGAAGATAAAAACCCAGATTTCCCAACCCCAATCCAGCTGTCCAGTTCCCTATCTCAGAGCTGGCGTTTACAGTAACTCATGTGTTACAGGTGTTTTCTTCTCCTTCCAGTTATATTGAGCCTGGGCCTCTAACTGCTAGATTCTTTTAGCCTCTTGGCTCCCTCACTGGAAATGCCACTGCATCAGAAGACACCCGCAACTCCTGCCTGCCTGCTGGGCCCCTCAAATAACTAGACCTTCTTCCTGAATCCCTAAGGAGGTCTTCCTTCTTGAACTTTGTAAGAAAAATCAGGATTCCAGGGAGATTAGCAGTCCAAAGAAAGCCTGCCAAGTCAGGGAGAGCAATGTTATTTACAATCAGAATGACCGATTCTAACATCAGCTTTATAGATTCTCAGATGTGAACCCCCGGCAAATTATTTGAACTTCCAGAGCCTCAATTCCCTCATCCATAAAATGGGGTTTTGTCTAGATTAAATGAGACCCATAACAAAATTGGTTCTTAATGTGCAGATTCCCCTTTCCATCTCACCATCTGTGATTTTTCCCTCTGAGTTTCCTCTGACTTTCCCTTTACACGGCCCCAATTCTTTCACTCCATCCTCACCACCATTCATAATCACATTTTCCAGGACTGATAAAACTAGTTTCTGACGCTGACCTATGGGCTTGGTAGGTCACATTCAAGACTGCCATCAGGAAAGTTTCTAAGGGCTATAAGGTCAAGTTAAGAGAGCTTATAGGAGAATAGGCTTAGCTCCCAGGTCCAAGATAACTTCCAAAACAAAGCAGCTGGCAGAAGCCAGAAGGAATTGAGCCTGGTCTGCCTTATTCACCACAAATGATCCCAAACCATCTCATGGCAGTTCCACAAAGTCAGTTTCAAACCTCCTCCCACTGGGTGCCTGGATGGCTCAGTGGGTTAAAGCCTCTGGTCATGATCTCAGGGTCATGGGAAATCTCTGCTCAGCAGGGAGCTCGCTTCTCCCCCCACCCCATTGCCTGCTGCTCTGCCTACTTACGATCTCTGTCAAATAAATAAAATCTTAAAAAAAATAATTATAATAAAATCTCCTCCCAGTACAGAAGCCTGCCTATGCCAATCTCTCAGACAGAGAGTAGGAGAATAACTGCCTAGAAGTTACCTGTACTAAAGATAAAATAAGCTCTATTTACCTTATTAGGTAATTACCCTGTATCTTGGCCCAAACTTGCCCAGAGTTTGCCCAAGACCCTCACTCACCAGTACCAAGACTCAGCTCAGCCCACAATTTTCTCTTTTGTGTCACAGGGTCAGCACCAGCTGCCTCTGAGAACAGGGCTCACCTATAACAGAAAGAGAAGTCAGTCAGGGTGCTGCTCAGAACAGGCATGAACTTAGGTCAGCACAGGTCAGCAGAGGTATTCCAAGTTCCTGCTCTCACATATCTTGCATCTGTGTAAAAGACAGGCTGATAATTAAATACATTATTTCAGGCTATGCTAAATGCTATGAAGAAAAATAAACCAGAGTAAGGGAGGAAAGAATGACAAGGAGGAGAATGAGGCTTTAGATAAAATGGCTAGGGAGACCCAGGGCACCTGGGTGGCTGAGTCGGTTAAGCATCTATTTGGCTCAGGTCATGTTCTCAGGGTTCTGGGATCAAGCCCCACATGCGGTTCCCTGTTAAGCAGGGAGTCTGCTTCTTCCTCTCCTTCTGCCCCTCCTCCCCATTCGTGCTCTCTCTAATAAATAAATAAAATCACTAAAAACAAACAAACAAAAAGGGTCAGAGAAACCTTCTCCACCAGAAAGAGACCTGAATGGAGGGAGGGAGTAAGCTCTGCGAAGACATGAAGGAAGACCGTTTCAGAGAGGGAGAATACCAAGTGCAAAGACGCTACAGCAATAATAGGCAAGAATAAGCTTGTTATGCTTCAAGGAAGTAAGAAAGTCAATATAACTAGAATGCAGTGATGGAAAGAATGAGATACTAAATATACGAAGAGGAATTAATTATGCTCCCTATTTTACACATGAGAAAACTGAGGCTCGGAAGTTATGGGACTTGCCCAAGATCAAAGTAAACCAGTGGCAGAACTGGGAATGGAGAAGCACCCGGCTGGCTTAGTAGAACATGCAACTCTTGATCTTGGGGTTCTGAGTTCAAGCCCCATAGTGGGTACAGAGATTATTTAAAAATAAAATCTTAACAAAAAAGAATGGGAATGGAATTCAGGTCACCTAGACAACTCTGTTTTCTCCATCTTGGGCCAGGTTCCTCCAGCTTAGATAACCTAGACCCCAGTTGGGACAAACTTAAAACTGGTTTCAGGGTTCTTTCTTTGTCCCCTCCTCTGTTGGGTGAGGATGGTTAAAAAACAGAGAAATGGTTAAATTTACCTGAAATGTGGAATAGAGGAGAGACTCTGGGGTTAAGGAGAACAGAAGCACATGCCAAGCAAGCACTGTTGTAAACCCTTTATTTGTATTAACTCATTTAATCTGCACAAAATCTTGTAAGGTTGCTCTTATTTTCCGATTTCACTACTAAGGAAATTGAGGCACAGGTAAGTAAATTTGCCCAAGTCACATAGCTAACAGAAAGTAGAGCTGAGACTTGAACCCAGAATCCAACCTCCGAGGCCTGCCCTGTCCTCTTAAGCATACTATAACAACTTCTGAAATACCAACTTCTGAAAAACTAAAGAAAAAAGACAGGAAACATTCTCTAGTCCTAACCAATATGGCTCAGAGCTTCATTTACCCCGAGCCTGAAATCCTCTCCATTTACTTGCAGCCCAGCTTCTTACTGAATACCACATGAAGGACTCTTGAGTCCTTCAGTCAGGTGGTTCCAGACACTTCTCTAATCTCCAGTTACTGTGAGAAGAAAGTGATAACCACAACAATAACCATTTAATAGCCACTAACATTGAACGTACCCTTTGAAATAGACTAGGTACTAAGACTCTTACACGCACTATTGTATTTCAGACAAGAGAGTGACAGTTGTTCCAAGACATGGGTGAAAGGATCTCTGGGGGGTTCCAGGCCTGGAGGCAAAGCAGCAAATACAGGGAACCGAAGGATCTCTGTAGGCCCGGGTCAAAGGACAAAGGCAGAGATACTAGGAGGTGGGCAGTAAGGGGAATAGACTATTAGTACCTCCAATTCAACAGGTCAACAAACTGAACTCATCTTCTCCTCTACAGTTCAGCAAATGGTATAACTATTCTTCCAAGTACTGAGACTCCAAATGTTCATGCTCTCCAATCTCTCCTTTCCTCATGCCCCATTCCCACAACTGTGAAGTCCTCATGGGTTTTTTGTTGTTATTCTAAGAACTCTATATCCAAACCATTCTTCTTTATTCCCTACTGTGACAACTTCCTCTTGGTTCAGGATCCCATTTGCTCTTGCCTGCAAGGCTGGAATATTTCTTAGAATTTATTGACATAATAAGGACAGACTGTTACTGTAGCCTCTTCTCTGGTCTTCCAGTAGTCTCCCCCTATCCCTTCCTTCTCTAACCACTGGGTCCATACCACCAGACTAATGTTCCCAATGCCAAATCCCATGCTCAGGAAAGAAAAAGGAAAGAAGTTGTGGCTTCCAATCACTTCAGCTTTGCTAAGTATGACTTCATCTGGTCATCAAGTATGCCTTACCCTCTATCATGGGCTTTCCAGCTCTCATCCTTTTGTCCATGCTGTTCTCTCACTTAGAATGCCTGTCTACATTGGTATATATTCAAATACTTCTTAATCTTCAAGGCCTAGCAAATCTATGGTTACCCTGAACCCTTTTTCTCACCACTCTGTCATGTTCTTGAATCATCACTTACTGTGACTATACCTGGCTCTGGCCTCATCATCAGCTAAAGCCTCAAAACCAGTTCCTCTGTTCCTTCTTCCACGTAAAGATTCTTGGTGGTTCCAGAGAATGAAGACCTAGTTGGTTAAGATTTCTGTTCTCATTCCTGCTACACTGGATCTATCACCTAACAAGGGACCTGGGTTCTAATCTGAGCCTCAGATTTCTATAAAAATGGAGATACAATCTCCATTCTGATTATAGGACAAAGATTTCATGAGAATCATTGCAGTAACAGAAAAGGAAGTAGGGAAGAGTTAGGAAGAGAGATTCCAGGCCAGGTCTTTAATAGCTCTTTCTTTTGGGGGACCTGGGTGGCTCAATCGTTAAGCATCTGCCTTCAGCTCAGGTCATGATGCCAGCGTCTTGGGATCAAGTCCTGCATCAGGCTCCCTGCTTGGCAGAGAGTTTGCTTCTGCCTCTCCCTCTCCCTGTTGTTCTGCCTGCTTATGCTCTCTCTGTCAAATAAATAAATAAATCTTTAAAAAAAACAAAACAAAAAACAGCTCTTTCTTTCACTGCAAAAACACTGAACATATTTATAGAAGCCTTCTAGCCAATCAATCAAAATATACTTCCTGGACCTGGCTGGTCATGGTTATAGCTCTAAGTCAGGGGTTATAGATGACACAGGGATGAATGACAACACTTCTTATCCTTAGGATTCCTTGCATTCCAGGGTGGGACTATGTGACCTTCCTTCAAAAGGACACTACTATTAGGCAGGATCCAATAGTTCGTAGAGTATTCCATGTATTATAAAAATGAAGAAATCAGGCTGACTGGAGGTGGCCTCCCAAGTTTCACAGGGACAAGGACTTAAGCTAGGTCTTGATGCAGGATGACAGAAAGACACAGGCTACTACTATGCACCAAGCACTGGACTAGGTATTATGAGTATAGCCCTCATAAAAAGGGCATGCCATCACTCTTCACAGGGTAGTATATCAAAAGTAACTGAATAATGGCAAGGTTAAGTGTGCCATTTAAGGTCAAACAGCTAGTAAGTAGCAGAGCTAGGATGTGAACCCAAGACTGCTTTACTTTATTCCAAAGCCTATATGTGTTTACTTATTTACTTCATCATTCTACCTTAAAAATCCAATGGGGGATCTGGGTGGCTCAGTCATTGTCTGCCTTCAGCTCAGATCCCACGGTCCTGGGATCAAGCCCCACATCGGGCTCTCTGCTCAGCTGCTGCTTCTCCCTCTCCCACTCCCCCTGCTTGTGTCCCCTCTCTCACTCTCTTGTCAAATAAATAAATAAAATCTTGGAAAAAAAAAAAAAAAATCCAATGATTTGGGACACCCAGCTGGCCCAGACGAAAGAGTGTGAGACTTGAGTTCGAGCCCCACGCTGGGTATAGAGAATACTTAAATAAATACAACTTAAAAAAAAAAAATCCAATGATTTGAATGGGGTAGTAGGGGAGGAGGTCTGTCTGACGTCCTCCCCATAGGACTGTAATTTTATTGGCAGGTTTAGGGTCTTATTAACTGGAATACCTTAAGTATCTGACACAGAGCCTGGCAGGTTATACTTAGGAGACATTGTGAGTGAATAAATGAATGAATAAGCACCTTCTCCATGAACTTTTGTTCTGAAGTCTAGAAGGTCTAGAAGGTCCAAAATCTCAAGCTCCATGTTATGACTCCCAGCCCCTTTAATACCAACTATCTACCAATCTGTTGTCTGAAGGTTCCCTTTTCCCATTCTTGTTTTTAGGAGTTAAGGGAGAGGGGAGGACAGAAAAGAGTAAGAAGGAAAGCTGGGTGGCTAAGAGAAAAGAGAGGGAGAGAAAAAGGGTGAAAGCAGAGAAGGAGACAAAAAGGAAGGAATTATCTGAGGCCCATACTTTGGGAAAGGTTTCTTTTTTGGTACCAGAACCAAGGACTCATTTATTTGTTTTGTTTTTTTTAAAGCACAGCTGTAGGAATTCCTCTTTTTAAATATCAAATGAAGGGAACTTGCTTATCCAAAACCCCAGACTAAATCTAGCAGCAGGAGGTACAATGAAACTCCTCAGAGTTTCCATCCACAGTTCTTACCACCATCCTGCCCCCGCCCAACTGTCATCTGCTTTAGGCTAAAGCCTGCAGAGATGAGAAGACATGTTCTTCTGCTCCTTCTACAAGAGTTATTCCAGGGGCGCCTGGGTGGCTCAGTGGGTTAAGCCGCTGCCTTCGGCTGGGGTCATGATCTCAGGGCCCTGGGATCGAGTCCCGCATCAGGCTCTCTGCTCAGCAGGGAGCCTGCTCCCTCCTCTCTCTCTGCCTGCCTCCCTGTCTACTTGTGATCTCTCTGTCAAATAAATAAATAAAATCTTAAAAAAAAAAAAAAAGAGTTATTCCAGGCTAGTAAGCCTTGGGAATCCAATCTTCCTTATGAATGAGGAGAACTGACATCCTCTGGATACTTCCCCACAGCTCCCTGTCATGAAAGCTTTGCTGAACCCTAAGGGGAAAGCATT